CTCTGCCTGCCCGACTGTCCCTGGCCAGCCTCAGGTTGCTGAGTTTCTCTTCACACACACCCAAGTTAGGGTCCATGAAGAAGTGCTCTAGCAGCTTGAGGCTGGGCTCACAGGGAGGTTTCCATGGAATGGATTTAAGAAACAGGAATCTGTGTTCTCCCTGCAGCTGTCAGGATCCATCCCTCAGCCTTCAGCTGCACAGTGGGGCCCTGGCTCTCAGTTACTAGGACATCTCATCTGTCCACAGTGGGTGGGGTGAGTCCCCATGGACTGGCGACAAAACCCTCTCCACCCCAGCATCCAGGGGGGAGTCATTTGGTTTTATTTCTCAATACGTAGTACCCGGCTTTGCCTACCATTCCACAGAGCTCAGCAGAGACAGTTACCTCTGACTCTTGTGTGCAGAGTTGAACAAAATTGGGATAAACTTAAAGAGGAACAGCCAGTAGGGCTTTGAGGAACTGACTGTAATGCCCTGAAGAGTCACTTCTTTGAGATGGAGGTGAAGCCGTCAAGAGAAGGTGTCTGCCGTTCTGCTCTGAGGCCTCCAGGGGAGGACAGAGAAGGTCAGATGGACAGTGTCCAGCCTCCAAGTTCAGACAGACAGTCTCCAGCCTCCATGTTCAGATGGCCAATGTCCAGCCTCCAGGTTCAGACAGCCAGTTTCCCACCTCCATGGTCAGATGGCCAGTGTCCAGCCTCCACGTTCAGATGGCCAGTCTCCAGCCTCAAAGTTCAGATGGCCAGTGTCTAGCCTCCAGGTTCAGACAGCCAGTGTCCAGCCTCCAAGTTCAGGTGGCCAGTGTCTAGCCTCCATGTTCAGATGGTTAGTGTCCAGCCTTCAGGTTCAGATGGCCAGTGTCCAGCCTCCAAGTTCAGACAGTCAGTGTCCAGCCTCTAGGTTCAGACAGCCAGTGGCCAGCCTCTGGGTTCAGATGGCCAGTGTCCAGCCTCTAGGTTCAGATGGCCAGTGGCCAGCCTCTGGGTTCAGATGGCCAGTGTCTAGCCTCCCTGCTGCACTTCCTTTGCCAGTGTCCACCCTGTGTCACACAGATAACCTGTGATCAGGGTGTGGTGCGGGTCAGTGAGGTGTTTGCATCCATTCTCATGTTAATCCTCATGACAACCTTACAGGGTAGATCCTGTCATTATCTCTGTTTTACCAAAAAGGAAACTGAGGCCCAGAAAGGCTGCAGTAGATGTGAACTTCCTGAAGGCTAGGGTGGTTCCTACTCTCCACTCCTCTCCCCTCCTCTTTTCTAAAGAGCACACAGGAAATGACGACACCGGGATTCATTCCCCAAGTCACTCCCTTCCAAACCCATGCTCTTAACCACAACATTTCTTGGCTCCAAGCATTTGTTTGGAAGTTAAATATTCATATATTCATATGTTATTAATTCCAGTCTTCTTCATGATTACTCAGTAGCACAAATGCTTTCCCGTTCTGGTATCTGCAGCGTGGGTATATAATCCATGCTTGGACTGGTCTTGAAGACAGCCAGTGTGTGGAGATTTTTGGGGGGTCATCTGCTGGTACCCCGGCCGCTTTTCTGGGGCCAGGCCCGGGGTTCATTACTGACGCTCCCCAGAG